GAAGTGGAAGATTGGACAAATGACCAGTGATGAGTATAAAAATATTGCTCGGGCTTGCAGGAGTGAAATCAGGAAGGCCAAATCACACCTGGAGTTGCAGCTAGCAAGAGATGTTAAGAGTAACAAGAAGGGTTTCTTCAGGTATGTTAGCAACAAGAAGAAAGTCAAGGAAAGTGTGGGCCCCTTACTGAATGAGGGAGGCAACCTAGTGACAGAGGATGTGGAAAAAGCTAATGTACTCAATGCTTTTTTTGCCTCTGTCTTCACGAACAAGGTCAGCTCCCAGACTACTGCACTGGGCAGCACAGCATGGGGAGAAGGTGACCAGCCCTCTGTGGAGAAAGAAGTGACTATTTGGGACTATTTAGAAAAGCTGGACGAGCACAAGTCCATGGGGCCGGATGCGTTGCATCCGAGAGTGCTAAAGGAGTTGGCAGATGTGATTGCAGAGCCATTGGCCATTATCTTTGAAAACTCATGGCGATCGGGGGAGGTCCCGGATGACTGGAAAAAGGCTAATGTAGTGCCCATCTTTAAAAAAGGGAAGAAGGAGGATCCTGGGAACTACAGGCCAGTCAGCCTCTCCTCAGTCCCTGGACAAATCATGGAGCAGGTCCTCAAGGAATCAATTCTGAAGCACTTAGAGGAGAGGAAAGTGATCAGGAACAGTCAGCATGGATTCACCAAGGGTAAGTCATGCCTGACTAATCTAATTGCCTTCTATGATGAGATAACTGGCTCTGTGGATGAAGGGAAAGCAGTGGACGTATTGTTCCTTGACTTTAGCAAAGCTTTTGACACAGTCTCCCACAGTATTCTTGCCAGCAAGTTAAAGAAGTATGGGCTGGATGAATGGACTATAAGGTGGATAGAAAGCTGGCTAGATTGTCGGGCTCAACGGGTAGTGATCAATGGCTCCATGTCTAGTTGGCAGCCGGTATCAAGTGGAGTGCCCCAGGGGTCGGTCCTGGGGCCGGTTTTGTTCAATATCTTCATAAATGATCTGGAGGATGGTGTGGATTGCACCCTCAGCAAGTTTGCAGATGACACTCAACTGGTAGGAGTGGTAGATACCCTGGAGGGTAGGGATAGGATACAGAGGGACCTAGACAAATTGGAGGATTGGGCCAAAAGAAATCTGATGAGGTTCAACAAGGACAAGTGCAGAGTCCTGCACGTAGGACAGAAGAATCCAATGCACCGCTACAGACTCGGGACCGAATGGCTCGGCAGCTGTTCTGCAGAAAAGGACCTAGGGGTTACAGTGGACGAGAAGCTGGATATGAGTCAACAGTGTGCCCTTGTTGCCAAGAAGGCCAATGGCATTTTGGGATGTATAAGTAGGGGCATTGCCAGCAGATCAAGGGACGTGATTGTTCCCCTCTATTCGACATTGGTGAGGCCTCATCTGGAGTACTGTGTCCAGTTTTGGGCCCCACACTACAAGAAGGATGTGGAAAAATTGGAAAGAGACAAGCGGAGGGCAACAAAAATGATTAGGGGACTGGAACACATGACTTATGATGAGAGGCTGAGGGAACTGGGGATGTTTAGTCTTCAGAAGAGAAGAATGAGGGGGGATTTGGTAGCTGCTTTCAACTACCTGAAAGGGGGTTCCAAAGAGGATGGCTCTAGACTGTTCTCAGTGGTAGCAGATGACAGAACGAGGAGTAATGGTCTCAAGTTGCAGTGGGGGAGAGTAGGTTGGATATTAGGAAAAACTTTTTCACTAGGAGGGTGGTGAAACACTGGAATGCGTTACCTAGGGAGGTGGTGGAATCTCCTTCCCTAGAAGTTTTTAAGGTCAGGCTTGACAATTTAGTCGGGGATCGGTCCTGCTTTGAGCAGGGGGTTGGACTAGATGACCTCCTGAGGTCCCTTCCAACCCTGATATTCTATGATTCTAAGCCCCTGCAGATCCTGCACTTATCTTGGACTTGAGCCTCCCCCAAGCATTTTTGGCAGCTGGAATGGGGGTTGCTCACCGGCACTGGCATGGGTTTAGTATAGGGTGCACATGGTTTGAAGCCCAAGGCTCAGAGCATGCCCCGTCCCTGGAGCAACGTCCCTTAAGGGGACTAGCTAACTAACAAGAACTAGAACTGACAACTACTAACTATTTACAAGAAGAGATCTGTAAACCACTAGGGGAGGCTTGCCGAAGCAAGAGAAGAGGACTGTTCCAGCAGCCGTCATGGGCAGTAAGAAGGAACCGGACGAGTGCGGGGCCGGCAGCACCCCTTATACTGGTGCATGAGTGCAGGCCACCAGGGGATACTAGAGTCAGCCCTATGGATACAACTAGCAGGGAAATCTTTGGCAGGAGGGCACGCGGCACACACACAGCTAACATGGAATCGACATGAGCAAGTACTTGAAGAAGAATGATAGTTTCTGCTGCTTAGGATCTCTGGAGGCAGTTTGTAATAAATGTCTTTTTGCTTTCTAAAACCAGACTTGTATGTGTATTTATGGTTTTTCATTTTCAGACATCTTCCAGTGTGAAAATAACTAAGTTGGAAGTCTAGGTCTAAATAGAATGTATTTTTGTGCTTCTTAATTTATCCTTCAGTTGTGAGGGTAGTCCTAAAAAAATGTTGATTGTCTCTGCAGAATTTAGCAGTGACAGGCAGAACCAGAGTGGGGAATGGGTGCAGAGAGTGCTGTGGGAGCGGCTGGAACGTATGGCGTATTCAAGTAGTCAGAATGCAGGGGTGCAGCCTTTAAGCCTGCTCACCCTGGATACGCCGGGCTAACTGGATGTCCTTAAGCATGATGGTGACTCTCTTGCCGTGAATAGCACAAAGGTTGGTGTCCTCAAAGAGCCCCACCAAGTAGGCTTTGCTCGCCTCCTGCAGGGCCACAACAGCCGAGCTCTGAAAGCACAAGTCAGTTTGGAAGTCCTGGGCGATTTCATGCACCAGGCGCTGGAAGGGCAGCTTGCGGATGAGCAAAGCTCAGTAGATTTCTGTGAGCAACAGATCTCTTGCAGGGCAACAGTGCCGCACACACCCCTCAGTGTCCCACAGCAAGAGGAGGTTATGGAAACAAACTACAGTTCCCAGGCTGCTGCTGAGAAACGTGGTTTGTTTCCATAACCTCCTCTTGCTGCATACTCCAGTACTGGAGCATGCCCAGTGGCTGCAACCCCTGCTGGATAGGTAAGAAATTCCTTCGACTCCCAGCCACTGGTGGGCATGCTCAAATGCTGTGGGAAGTTTGCAAAAGCAGAGCAGGACAGGTCGGTGGGTGGAACCCTGGGGCTGATGGCCAGGTGAGATGTTAGAGGGTAGACACATGCAACCCATTCAGTTGCCCTGAAGCAGCAAGATGAACCCTGCCCCCTTGCCATGGTGACTGACTCAGTTACTTGTGAGAGTGGGACCCTAGAATCGAGTGGGAGGGGGCAGATGGCAGAGGAACAGGTGGTGCAGCTGCTCAGGGGTCCATGTGTAACGACGACAGACCCCGGTCATCAGCGGGCGAGATCAAACCTGGGGCCTCTGGAGCTTAGTGCATGAGCCGCTACTGCATGAGCTAAAAGCCAGCTGGCTCTTAGCTAAGACTGTAGAGCAGACTCACGTTAACTCTGTAAGTGGTCTCAGTGCCACTAGATGGGACAGAACACCACACCCAGAAGGTGTACTGTATGGGTTACATATGCACTTGCAGGACCCCTGCAGGCTCAGCGCTGCTCAGCCACACAACATACACCTGGCCCAGGCTGCTGCCATTGTTCGCAGCCTGCTGGAACCTGTAGGAGGAGCAATGCGCTGGTCCCCACTGCTCACTTTTGAGTTTGCCTGGGGAGGGAGGCCTCCAAAATGGTGGCTCTGCCATGAATTCTGATTAGCGGGTACCACCAATGATCAGAGGCCCCTCCTCCCCTCCAGCTGACCAGGCAAATTCAAATGTGGGCAGCAGCAACCAGCAAGGCTGCTCTTCCTTGTGGCTCTGACTGCAACTCTGGTAGCAGCAGCAGCAGCGATTCAAGGCTCTGGCTCCGGCTCCTACGACAGCAGTTCTGTCTTTGGTGGGAGCAGTGGTCCTCGCCCTAGGAGGCAGCAGCAGCACTGGTACACAGCCCGGGCCAGAGGGAGCAGATGGCAGAGCCTGGAGCTGGGGAGGAGGGGAACGGGGGAGCAGAGGCAGAGATGACTGCAGGGGTGGGGGAAGGGAGTTTATTTTAATGAATGTGGGATATGTGATGGCATGTGGGGTACCACAATCTAAACCTGGACCGTGGGCCATCTTTTTGTTCCTCTGCCACTGGCAGATGGGAGAGGGAGATGGGGGACCCAGACTCGGAGGAGTGGGGAGGCAGTCAGCATTTGCTGACCCTTCTTACTGTTAAATCTGCCACTCTAGCCAGAATATGGCATAGCAAAGGCTAGCAGAGGTCAGGACAGAAAAGCATTGGCAAAATTGTACAAATGGTCCCCAGAAACAGAATGCCTGAGCAGCGGCCTCAGAGTCTGCTTTTCCACAGCCAGCTGGGATGCAGTAAAAGATTCTTTCAGTACACTGACAATATTTCAGTGGCAGAGTGCAATTGACAAATCAGAAAAGATGGAAGGTGATTTGGGCACTTTCTGTGCTCAGGGTATTCTGGCTTGGATACCCCAGTCTGTCAACCTAGAAGCCAAGTGGCATTATGCTGGTGAAATTCCCCTTGTCACCACTGCCTTTTCTTGGAGGATAATCTCTTTGGATAATCTCCCAATCTCTTTCAATTGTTCCGACGCTGTGCAATACCCCATGCTCTAGGTCTAGAGTTTTTCCATAGTTCAGGAACCAGCAAACTTTCCTTATTCCTTCAGCACCTTCTTACAAACCAGAGAGCTATCAGTGTCTTTTCAAGTTGGAAGAGGAATAACACCTTACCACCCAACCGTGTGTGCACACATGCATAACCCCTTCTCCCCATGTTCCCTTTCTTCCCATGTCCCCCTCCCCATCTTGTGTATTTTTAAATACTAAAGAATACAAAAGACAGTGAATGAGGGAAATTTCAACCTTCCTCTATTTGTTTATTTGCTGTTGTTGTTTTAAACTCTAAAATTACAAAGACAGCAAATTATTTCCTACACAAATTACATTTACAAAATAAAATGAACAAGCGTCAATCCTATGAGATTTTCACTTGGTTTTAAACAGCAAACCCACCAAATATACTTTTTTGTTTTTACTGGAATATTGGAAATATCCCCTCCACACTGCCCTCCCAACCACCCCTCCCCCCACCCCCACAACCTTAAGCAATAACAGTACACAGCTCCAGTTCCATAAAGCAACTTTTGACAGATTCAGTATCGGTTACATTTCTTTTTTTCCCCACTCCCCCCCCCCAATCAAAAAAATCCACACCTAAAGAAACTGTTGGTCTTGTGCCCTTTCTATTGTAGATGTATGGCTACATACCAAAGCTATGGATCAGGAAGTGGGCGCTGCAGAGTTGGAAAGCACTCAGAGAACCCTGCATTACAGTCAGTGGTGAAGAGATGGTTTTCTTAACCCCTTCTCTTAACCCACAAGATATTACAGATTCTAGAGGGATTAGGATGATGCTTCTCATGCAGTTGGAAGCAGAACCTCTTTTTTCTCTCATTTCTTTTGAGGGGGTGGGGGAATTAGACCTCACCCCCGTTTCCACTTCAATTCCATCAACCATGATTTTCTGCAAATCCAGCCTTTTTGAGGAAAAATCCACTTTGCAAATCCCACCAGGAAATCTCCACTGATCCCCGTTTTAAAGCCTCTCAGTTAAAAGGCAACCTCCTCCCACAAGAGCAAAGTAGGTGGACAGATTACCAACTCCAGCCCATTCCTCTCACTGGGGTGGGGAAGACACATCACATGCATCATGAGCTGGTCTCCCTGTCATTAGTGTGTGTGTGTGTGTGTATATATATATATATATATATATATATATATATATGGGAAATGCTGAACCATCAGACTGAGGTTAAAGAAAATGTAATTTATGCTACAGCAATTAATCCCATGTGATCAAGATCTTCCAGCACAGTTATTTTTCTCAGACCCCCTTCATTTAGAGGTCTTTGTCCCCACACTCTGGCATGGGCAAGTTCCATGCACAGCCAATTTACCTGTATGATACCCTAGAGCTGGTAGGAGACTGGGGAACTCAATTCCCTTTTATCCAACATGGATTCCCCCCTGCTCCCAAAACACAAATAAGTATTTCATACATTAAAAAAAATAGAGAGCTCTAAGATTACAACAGAAGAAAAAACAAACCAATAACACTTGTAAGACAAGTCTCAGCACTGCGTTGTTGTTTTTTTTAGTAATTGAATTATTTTAACTATTTCAGGGAAATAACAGTCCAGTCTTTTATAAAGTTGCAATAGAAAGAGAGAAGAGAATAAAGAAGAAAACTATTTACAGAAGTAGAGGTGAAGAAGAATGTCCAAGAAAGATCCCAGACTTGCACTTCACTTCTTCTTGGCTGATTTCTTCGCACTGGACTTTGCTTTGGGTTTTGATGGCTTTGCCTTTTTGGGCTTCAGTGCCTTCACTGGCTTGGCCTTGACAGTTTTTGGCTTCTTGGCTTTCTTTGGAGCAGCCGCTGGCTTCTTTTTGGCTTTCTTGGCGGCAGCTTTGGGCTTCTTGGCTGAGGACTTGGTGGCAGCTTTCTTGGGTTTAGCTGTTTTCCTGGGCGTCGTGGCCTTCTTGACTTCCTTCTTGGCTTTCTTGGCTGGAGGTGGCTTCTTGGGTTCATCGGCCTTGGCCAGGCGGAAAGAACCAGACGCGCCGACCCCTTTGGTCTGCTTGAGGACACCAGTGGTGACCAGCCTCCTGATGGCCAACTTGATTTGGAAGTCAGCGTTCTCCCCCACTTTGTAGTGGCTCTTAATGTATTTCTGGATGGACTGGCGAGAGGAGCCGGCCCGGCTCTTTTCAGCCTGGATGGCGGCCACTATCATGTCAGAGTACTTGGGGTGGTCTGTTGACTTCTTGGCCGCCTTGGCCCGTTTGGGCTTGGCCGCAGGAGCCGAGGCAGAATTCTCCGTCATCTTTTGCTTTCCCTTCGGGCCAAGGGAATCGGAAGAGCCCTGTGCACGGAGTCCTCAAGCCGCCTCGCTGCCCCCTGGCTCCCACGCACTCTCGCCACGTGCGATGCTTCGTCCCAGTGGCCACGCGGAAGGCCGGCCTGCAAGACGGGCGCTGGGCTTCTCCTGGCAACGGACAGACGAGTTGGCCCCCTCGTGACCGGCGTCCCCTCCTGGCGGTGGCAGGTGCCTCTCTGTGGCTCGGTCCCTTGTGGGCCTGGTCTGCGCCTCGGTGTCTGTCAGTCAAGGCCTGGGGTCCCCCTGTCAGGCTGTGAGTGGCCGCCCCTCCCCCCCGTCCGCGGGTCTCAGTCCCCCCCGGCAGGCTCGGCTCTGCCTCCCTCTCCGCCTCCCGCGCCTTGTCTGGCTCTCCAAGCAGCAGCCGGCGCATCCGGGTATTTAGCGCCGCGGCGCGGACCGCGGTGAGGACAGGGCTGCTGGCTGCCTGCTCAGGGCCCCGAATGGCGCCGCGCCGCCGACATCTGTGTTTCTTCCGCCGCCCCAAGCGGCCCTTTTCCCCCTCCCCGGGCGGCCCCGCGCCCCCCCGCCGCCGCTCCCGGCTGCCCGGGTCCCTGGACTCCCCGCCGCCGGGCCCCGCTCTCGCCGCCGCCGCCCCCCGCCCGCTCAGGCCGCCCCAAACGGCGCCGGGTGCCGCCGGGGCCCCGCCACATTTCCCCTTTGCGCCCCCCTAGCCGGGCGGCCGGGGGGGCCCCGGCCCGGGCCGAGCGACCGGGGGCAAGGGCCAGGTCTGGGCCGCCGGGGGACCCCGATCCCGGCCCGCTGCGGGCCCCGGGACCCCCTCGGGGGCCCCGGGAACAGACCCCAACTAACACAGGGAGCCCCGAGCCGGGCGAGGCGCAGCCCGACCTGGCTGAGGAGGGGGGGAGGGGTGGCTCCCCCAAGCCTGGGGAGGGTCCCCAGGGGGGAGCCTCCCGCCCCCAGCCCCGGGACCCCCACTCCTGCCCCCTCCCCAAACTCCTGCTCTGCAAAACTTTCTTTGGTATTAGATGGGAAGTTTGCAGCCGTCCCCTCCCCCAGAGTCCCCCTGGCTGCCCCCTGCCCGGGGCTGGGGGCACACGGGCAGGGGGCACGGCCCAGCCCTGCCTGAGCTGTAGGGGGGCACCGGGGGCAGGGAGGGGGGTTCCCTCCATTACCCCTCTTCCCAAAAAAGTACCGCACTGGGCTGAGAGATTCCTAAACAATAACAAGCTCAACTGCCATGGAGAAGAAATTGGGGGACACAGACACCCCACCCGCCTCATACCTTACTCCAGCCCTCCGCACACACCCAGCCAGGTACCCCCGGGGCTGCACCTGCCCCCTCCCCATCCCGTTTGCCCCCCACAAACTGCTTTGGGGACTTGCACAGGGGCAATCCTGAGCTGTTTTATTTCCTCCTGCATTTTTTAGTGAGGAATCGATTTTAGCGTTTCAAAACAGATTTCCACCCTCTTTGAGGGGACATGGGGAGGGGGAGCTTGGGACTGGGAGAGGGGCAGATTATCACTAGTGTAACCGTAATTTACATACATATCCCGGGAAAGTGTTTAATTGCTATTAGGAGATTAAATGTACGTGCCATCGCCATTTTGCTGGAAGGATAGGTTGTTTTTCTTCCCCCTTTTCCATTTATTTTTTATAACAAATATGAATATAACAACATCGGGGATGCAAACATTGAGGTGCGGGGCTGAAATCTGAGATCTTATGGTACCGAGTCACTTCAGGTGGAGAAAGTTAAAATGCCTCTGAAACACTTTTTAATAGCCATAAAATAACCTGGAATCCTAACAACACGAAAACCACCACCAAACAAATATATCTACATACATGGACCCACAGATCGGTACCCACCCCCTCTTCCCAGCTCAATTGCAGGGTATGACATAGGGAACAAGCATACAAATAGTTTGTCAGTTTATAAACCATGCACGGGCAGAATTATTTTATTTAAATACAGGATTTAAATAATCAACCGTTTGTCCTTGAAATTTCCATATCTGTTTCTCTCCAGCCCTCTCTCTGTGTGCTTGTCCACCCCGTCTAATAGCTTTCTCCTTTTTGATTCAGATGGGTGTTTATTTTAACTGCGGGGAAAGGGGAGAAGTGAACACACGATTTAAAAATAAATAAATACACGAAGCAGAGAAAGAGACAATCTAAGAGGTGCAGCTCGATAGTTTGGGGGGGGGGGGGGTTATTCAGTGAGCTCCGGGCAAAAGTGAGATTATTAGGTGAGGAGGGGGTAGGATCTGACCTCCTAACATATTTTGATCCAAATTGTGGATCAATTCCTTTACAATAGGCACGCAGGGATTAGACGCAGCACGCTGTTGCTTCATTCAACAGCTACATTTGCATCGAGTGCCTCGTGTACTTTAGTAGCAGTTTAACGTGTATGTGACAGCTTATTAAACACGAGGGGATTTTTTTTAAAGACGTGGATGCATAACGAAACCAGCAGGTTTAAAAAAAAATTAATACAAACAACAAAAAACCCCAGCATTCATCTTGGAGTGGCTCATGCAAATGAGTCTATTAACATGCTTTGCTAGAACGAAAATTTAGATAGAACCGCAGCAGCAAACAGCAAAGTAGTACGGGGTGAAAAAGTAATGCATTAAATTATTTGCAAAGTCCTGAAGCGCAACAGGGAAATAAACGGTGGAGAGGGATGGAAAAATCCCATTTTTATGCAAGAGCCATGCAAAAAGATATATCAAGTGCATTGCAAAACAACAACAAAAAAAGGGCATTTGCTAAACATTGAGGTGAGCAAACTTCTGGGAGGGGAGATCAATTTATACAGTATTGTCCCCATATATATTTATGTATTTAGTCGTGTTGGCTGTAGATACAACAGGAATGATTTCAGTGGGGGGGGGGATTTTAAATAGATTTTTAAGGCTTAAATAAAAAACTAAACTTAAATATACTTTGATATCGTTCTGTGTTATGCACTCGGGGAACAATACTTTGCTCTCGCTAATCTTTTAAATTTAAAATCACCGACGCTAACCCATTAACAATCCTGGTGGAAGGTAGCCATAGCTGCTTTGAAGTATTTCAGTCAGCTGATTAACATTTAAAGAGGCGGCTAGATAAAGGATCCCTGAGTTTAACTACAGGCCACCGTAGGATGCCCCAGCAATGCACTATGGGAAATGTAGTATCCTCCTCAACGCGTTCTCTTGCTAAGCAACCAATCCTGTGGCTATGCTGCTGCTTAGGGTGACCTTTCAAGGCTGTTGAAGGCTACTGTATGAAAAATAGAAGCTAAGCGTTATTTCTGATTAATACCACGCCATAGTATCATGTTTAGGATACAGAGCTATATATCTGTATAAACCAGTCGGAGAACACTTCAATCTCTCTGGTCACTCGATTACAGACCTAAAAGTGGCAATTCTTCCAAAAAAACCCTTCAAAACCAGACTCCAAGGAGAGACGGCTGAATTCGAATTAATTTGCAAACTGGATACAATTAATTTAGGCTTGAATAGAGACTGGGAGTGGATGGGTCATTACACAAAGTAAAACTATTTCCCCTGGTTTATTCCTATCCCCCACTGTTTCTCAGATGTTCTTGTCAACTGCTGGAAATGGCCCACCTTGATTATCACTGCAAAAGGGCCCCCCCCCCCCGGGACCTTTTCTCTAAGGGTATGTCTACACTACGAAATTAGGTCGAATTTATAGAAGTCGGTTTTTTAGAAATCGGTTTTATATATTCGAGTGTGTGTGTCCCCACAGAAAATGCTCTAAATGCATTAAGTGCATTAACTCGGCGGAGCGCTTCCACAGTACCGAGGCAACCGTCGACTTCCGGAGCGTTGCACTGTGGGTAGCTATCCCACAGTTCCCGCAGTCTCCGCTGCCCAATGGAATTCTGGGTTGAGATCCCAATGCCTGATGGGGCTAAAACATTGTCGCGGGTGGTTCTGGGTACATATCGTCAGCCCCCCGTTCCCTCCCTCCCACCGTGAAAGCAAGGGCAGACAATCATTTCGCGCCTTTTTTCCTGAGTTACCTGTGCAGACGCCATACCACGGCAAGCATGGAGCCCGCTCAGGTAACCGTCACCCTATGTCTCCTGGGTGCTGGCAGACGTGGTACGGCATTGCTACACAGTAGCAGCAACCCCTTGCCTTGTGGCAGCAGACGGTACAGTACGACTGGTAGCCATCATCGTCATGTCTGAGGTGCTCCTGGTCGCCTCTGTGAGGTCGATCAGGAGCGCCTGGGCAGACATGGGCGCAGGGACTAAATTTGGAGTGACTTGAGCAGGTCATTCTCTTTAGTCCTGCAGTCAGTCCTATTGAACCGTCTTATGGTGAGCGGGCAGGCAATACGGACTGCTAGCAGTCGTACTGTACTATCTTCTGCCGAGCAGCCATGAGATGTGGATGGCATGCAATCCTTCTGCACCGTCTGCTGCCAGCCAAAGATGTAAAAGAGAGATGGAGTGGATCAAAACAAGAAATAGACCAGATTTGTTTTGTCCTCATTTGCTTCCCCCCCTCCCCTGTCTAGGGGACTCATTCTTCTAGATCACACTGCAGTCACTTACAGAGAAGGTGCAGCGAGGTAAATCTAGCCATGTATCAATCAGAGGCCAGGCTAACCTTCTTGTTCCAATAAGGACAATAACTTAGGTGCACCATTTCTTATTGGAACCCTCCGTGAAGTCCTGCCTGAAATACTCCTTGATGTAAAGCCACCCCCTTTGTTGATTTTAGCTCCCTGAAGCCAACCCTGTAAGTGCCCCTCCCAGCGTCAGAGCAATGGCAAACAATCGGGCATCTGAGAGTGCTGTCCAGAGCAGTCACAATGGAGCACTCTGATGGGGCTAAAACATTGTCGCGGGTGGTTCTGGGTACGTGTCGTCAGGCCCCCGTTCCCTCCCTCCCTCCGTGAAAGCAAGGGCAGACAATCATTTCGCGCCTTTTTTCCTGAGTTACCTGTGCAGACGCCATACCATGGCAAGCATGGAGCCAGCTCAGGTAACCGTCACCCTATGTCTCCTGGGTGCTGGCAGACGCGGTACGGCTTTGCTGCACAGTAGCAGCAACCCATTGCCTTCTGGCAGCAGACGGTGCAATACGACTGGTAGTCGTCCTCGTCGTGTCCGAGGTGCTCCTGGCCACGTCGGCTGGGAGCGCCTGGGCAGACATGGGCGCAGGGACTAAATTTGGAGTGACTTGAGCAGGTCATTCTCTTTAGTCCTGCAGTCAGTCCTATTGAACCGTCTTATGGTGAGCGGGCAGGCGATACGGACTGCTAGCAGTCGTACTGTACCATCTTCTGCCAGGCAGGCAAGAGATGAGGATTGCTAGCAGTCGTATTGTACCATCTTATGCCAGGCAGGCAAGAGATGAAGATGGCTAGCAGTCGTACTGTACCATCTTCTGCCGAGCAGCCATGAGATGTGGATGGCATGCAGTCCTTCTGCACCGTCTGCTGCCAGCCAAAGATGTAAAAGATAGATGGAGTGGGTCAGAACAAGAAATAGACCAGATTTGTTTTGTACTCATTTGCCTCCTCCCCTGTCTAGATCACACTGCAGTCACTCACAGAGAAGGTGCAGCGAGGTAAATCTAGCCATGTATCAATCAGAGGCCAGGCTAACCTCCTTGTTCCAATAACAATGATAACTTAGGTGCACCATTTCTTATTGGAACCCTCCGTGCAGTCCTGCCTGAAATACTCCTTGATGTACAGGCACACCCTTTGTTGATCTTAGCTCCCTGAAGCCAACCCTGTAAGCCGTGTCGTCAGTCGCCCCTCCCTCCGTCAGAGCAACGGCAGACAATCGTTCCGCGCCTTTTTTCTGTGCGGACGCCATACCAAGGCAAGCATGGAGGCCGCTCAGCTCACTTTAGCAATTAGGAGCACATTAACCACCACACGCATTATCCAGCAGTATATGCAGCACCAGAACATGGCAACGCGATACCGGGCGAGGAGGCGATGTCAGCGCGGTCCCGTGAGTGATCAGGACATGGACACAGATTTCTCTGAAAGCATGGGCCCTGACAATGCATGCATCATGGTGCTAATGGGGCAGGTTCATGCTGTGGAATGCCGATTCTGGGCTTGGGAAACAAGCACAGACTGGTGGGACCGCATAGTGTTGCAGGTCTGGGACGATTCCCAGTGGCTGCGAAACTTTCGCATGCGTAGGGGCACTTTCATGGAACTTTGTGACTTGCTTTCCCCTGCCCTGAAGCGCATGAATACCAAGATGAGAGCAGCCCTCACAGTTGAGAAGCGAGTGGCGATAGCCCTGTGGAAGCTTGCAACGCCAGACAGCTACCGGTCAGTTGGGAATCAATTTGGAGTGGGCAAATCTACTGTGGGGGCTGCTGTGATGCAAGTAGCCCATGCAATCAAAGATCTGCTGATATCAAGGGTAGTGACCCTGGGAAATGTGCAGGTCATAGTGGATGGCTTTGCTGCAATGGGATTCCCTAACTGTGGTGGGGCTATAGACGGAACCCATATCCCTATCTTGGCACCGGAGCACCAAGCCGCCGAGTACATAAACCGCAAGGGGTACTTTTCGATAGTGCTGCAAGCTCTGGTGGATCACAAGGGACGTTTCACCAACATCAACGTGGGATGGCCGGGAAAGGTGCATGATGCTCGCATCTTCAGGAACTCTGGTCTGTTTCAAAAGCTGCAGGAAGGGACTTTATTCCCAGACCAGAAAATAACTGTTGGGGATGTTGAAATGCCTATAGTTATCCTTGGGGACCCAGCCTACCCCTTAATGCCATGGCTCATGAAGCCGTACACAGGCAGCCTGGACAGTAGTCAGGAGCTGTTCAACTACAGGCTGAGCAAGTGCAGAATGGTGGTAGAATGTGCATTTGGACGTTTAAAGGCGCGCTGGCGCAGTTTACTGACTCGCTTAGACCTCAGCGAAACCAATATTCCCACTGTTATTACTGCTTGCTGTGTGCTCCACAATATCTGTGAGAGTAAGGGGGAGACGTTTATGGCGGGGTGGGAGGTTGAGGCAAATCGCCTAGCTGCTGGTTACGCGCAGCCAGACACTAGGGCGGTTAGAAGAGCACAGGAGGGCGCGGTACGCATCAGAGAAGCTTTGAAAACCAGTTTCATGACTGGCCAGGCTACGGTGTGAAAGTTCTGTTTGTTTCTCCTTGATGAAACCCCCCGCCCCTTGGTTCACTCTACTTCCCTGTAAGCTAACCACCCTCCCCTCCTCCCTTTAATCATTGCTTGCAGAGGCAATAAAGTCATTGCTGCTTCACATTCATGCATTCTTTATTCATTCATCACACAAATAGGGGGATGACTACCAAGGTATCCCAGGAGGGGTGGTGGAGGAGGGAAGAAAAATGCCACACAGCACTTTAAGCACAGCACTTTAAAAGTTTACAACTTTAAAATTTATTGAATGACCGCCTTCTTTTTTTTGGGCAATCCTCTGTGGTGGAGTGGCTGGTTGGCCGGAGGCCCCCCCACCGCGTTCTTGGGCGTCTAGGTGTGGAGACTATGGAACTTGGGGAGGAGGGCGGTTGGTTACAGAGGGGCAGCAGTGGCAGTCTGTGCTCCAGCTGCCTTTGCTGCAGCTCAACCATACACTGGAGCATACTGGTTTGGTCCTGCAGCAGCCTCAGCATTGAATCCTGCCTCCTCTCATCATGCTGCCACCACATTTGAGCTTCAGCCCTGTCTTCAGCCCGCCACTTACTCTCTTCAGCCCGCCACTTACTCTCTTCAGCCCTCCACCTCTCCTCCCGGTCATTTTGTGCTTTCCTGCACTCTGACATTATTTGCCTCCACGCATTCGTCTGTGCTTTGTCAGTGTGGGAGGACAGCATGAGCTCGGAGAACATTTCATCGCGAGTGCGTTTTTTTTTCTTTCTAAGCTTCACTAGCCTCTGGGAAGGAGAAGATCCTGTGATCATTGAAACACATGCAGCTGGTGGAGAAAAAAAAAGGGACAGCGGTATTTAAAAAGACACATTTTATAAAACAGTCGCTACACTCTTTCAGGGTAAACCTTGCTGTTAACATTACACACATAGCACATGTGCTTTCGTTACAAGGTCGCATTTTGCCTCCTCCCACCGCGTGACTACCCCCTCAACCTTCTCCCCTCCCTGTGGCTAACAGCGGGGAACATTTCTGTTTAGCCACAGGTAAACAGCCCAGCAGGAATGGGCTCCTCTGAGTGTCCCCTGAAGAAAAGCACTCTATTTCAACCAGGTGACCATGAATTATATCTCACTCTCCTGAGGGTAACACAGAGAGATAAAGAACGGATTTTGGTTGAATGCCAGCAAACATACACTGCAATGCTTTGTTCTACAGTGATTCCCGAGTACGTGTTACTGGCCTGGAGTGGTAAAGTGTCCTACCATGAAGGACGAAATAAGGCTGCCCTCCCCAGAAACCTTTTGCAAAGGCTTTAGGACTACATCTAGGAGAACCGCAAATGCCAGGGCAAAGTAATCCTTTCACATGCTTGCTTTTAAACCATGTATAGCATTTTAAAAGGTACACTCACCAGAGGTCCCTTCTCCGCCTGCTGGGTCCAGGAGGCAGCCTTGGGTGGGTTCGGGGGGTACTGGCTCCAGGTCTAGGGTGAGAAACAGTTCCTGGCTGTCGGGAAAACCGGTTTCTCCACTTGCTTGCTGTGAGCTATCTACAACCTCCTCATCATCATCATCTTCTTCGTCCCCAAAACCTACTTCCGTATTGCCTCCATCTCCATTGAAGGAGTCAAACAACACGGCTGGGGTAGTGGTGTCTGAACCCCCTAAAATGGCATGCAGCTCATCATAGAAGCGGCATGTTTGGGGCTCTGACCCAGAGCGGCTGTTCGCCTCTCTGGTTTTCTGGTAGGCTTGCCTCAGCTCCTTCAGTTTCACGCGGCACTGCTTCGGGTCCCTGTTATGGCCTCTGTCCTTCATGCCCTGGGAGATTTTCAGAAAGGTTTTGGCATTTCGAAAACTGGAACGGAGTTCTGATAGCACAGATTCCTCTCCCCAAACAGCGATCAGATCCCGTACCTCCCGTTCGGTCCATGCTGGAGCTCTTTTGCGATTCTGGGACTCCATCATGGTCACCTGTGCTGATGAGCTCTGCATGGTCACCTGCAGCTTGCCACGCTGGCCAAACAGGAAATGAGATTCAAAAGTTCGTGGTTCTTTTCCTGTCTACCTGGCCAGTGCATCTGAGTTGAGAGCGCTGTCCAGAGTGGTCAGAATGGAGCACTCTGGGATAGCTCCCGGAGGCCAATACCATCGAATTGTGTCCACAGTACCCCAAATTCGAGCCGGCAACGTCGATTTAAGCGCTAATCTACTTGTCAGGGGTGGAGTAAATCGATTTAACGCTGCTAAATTCGACCTAAAGTCCTAGTGTAGACCAGGGCTAAGGTGCCACAAGTCCTCCTTTTCTTTTTGTATATACACACACAGTACCTACTGTCCTTGTGTGGTTTCAGGCAATACTTTTGTGATCAAATGCATGGCCATTTGTTGTAGCTTATGGAACAGAGTTATAGTACATAAGGCACCTGTGATGCAAAGCTGGCATGCCCATTATTTATGAAAAATGCAAGAACGCAATAAGTAATCCTACCTCCCTTTGACTGAGACTATGCCCCCATCACATTACCTGTGTTCGCAAAGCGGGGGTTGTATTGGATCCCAAGCTGTTGTCTTGTTGGATGATCACATAGCAGTAGATTTAGCTGGAAATTTAAGATGGTACAGAAATTAAGCAGCAGCCATCTATAAAAGCGGGGCTTCCTGTTGGCAGCATGTGTCACTGGTGATTTATGATCAGCCTTGCTAGCTGTTGTTTTTTAGACTGAATTTAAACTGCAGGTTTTGATCTATAAAGCCCTAAATGGGCTGGGATATTGCTGCTAGAGAGACTCTGCCACACTGCCACAACTGCAATCCGTGAAGGCATTTGTGTGGGATCCTCCTTGATTTAAAAGAGCAGTGGCTGGTGGTGGTGGTTTCTGTGAGCAGCCTCTGTGCTGACACAGGCTTCCTCTCCCATCTAAAATAGCCCAGAATTATTGAACTTCTGAATATACTGCAAGACATGACTATTTGTGTGAACTGCCATGGAGGTGGGCCTTTGAGATTCATCAGATGTGTGGGAGAGAGAAGAGTTGGGTGTTTTATACACAATCTAATTTTGTTTATGTAGTTCATGGCAGGGACAACACCTAGCATCTTGAATAGGATCCCCCCCCCCTTCTTTTTAAATAAATCTAATAATACTACTTCTCCCTTCCTACCATTGCACCCTCAGTTGTACTGAACTCTCTGTTCAAATCTTCTTTGCCTTAGAATCATGAATATTTCATTCAAGACAAAATTAACAATAGCAGGGAGTTCTCTACCCTACTGGAAGGGACAGTAGTAGGTGGTGCTCTTACAGATTTCTATTTTCTGTTTGAATGCATAGTCTTTTGATCTTGGAGGAATGCTTATTTTCAAGCCTTGGCTAAATGCAGAGCCTGCTTCATGTATTAACAGTCCACGTGGCATATTCAGATGATGTACAATCTGAGTTTTTCTACGTTTCTAGCTCTCAGGGTTGCAAAGAAAACATTTTAAAATGGGAGCCGAGTGTAACTTACACACTTGCTTTCCTCAGTCTGCAGGCAGCCTGAAATAACAGCCCAGCAGCCCCTTACTAATCTCCATGGACAGTCAATGCCAAAGGCTAATGAAAACACTTAATGTTGACATTACCTATGCCAATATTGATCAGTATAATGGATGGAACGTTGGCGGGGTTGGTACAGGGAAGCACCTGGGAGCTGCACAAACAGTCAGGGAGAGCCACAAAGACAAAAGGGCTTAAAACAGCAGTGCTCTTCAAAATGCCACTACTTTCCCACTGAGTGATGCTGAATGACAAGAAGGCATCAAATAAATAAAGTTTAGATACTAGCTAACAGCCATATCTAACCTTTGGTCTTTGTGTAAACCTCCCATTGCCAGCAGGGGGAGTTGTGGTACAGCTGGTGAACAGTGTGCAGTCTGAAATTCAGACCCCAGACCATAGTTAACAATGGAACTTTGCCATCTCCACTGAATGAGTTGAGACCATGGGGCTTGGCAGAACCTTACTGCAGGTCAAGTGCATCTAGCTGTGGCTTGCGGAGAGCAGCATCCATCAGGGCTAGCAAGCACTCAGCCCCTGAATCTTCATGCGCTCAACACCAGGCTGTATAAAGCCAGCAGGAAGGAGCAAGCAGCAGCTGAAAGGCATCAGGTGCTCCCTCCTCAGCCCCTTTCAGGGGTATTCAACATAAATAAGAAAAAATGCAGATACTAAAGTTTTAGGATAAGCAGCATTAGGAATCTGCCATGGAGATTTGGCCCCATGGAGTACTTCTGCCCTCCCTCTCAACCCCTCTTACTGTATTGAGCATCTTCTGCATCATGGTGTGTCTTTTGACCCATGACAAAGACCAGATCTACTAGCTCCCAACAGTGGCATCAGAAGAGAAGCAAGGTGACCAGATGTCCCTATTTTATAGGGACAGTCCTGATTTTTGTGTCTTTTTCTTAGATAGGCTCCTATTACCCCCCACCCCCGTCCCGATTTTTCACACTTGCTATCTGGTCACCCTAGGTCTGTAATAGATGAGCATGTTCATTAGGGGCACATTCCCAACTTGCCTTTCATCAATTGCCTACATAAAGGCAGTTCTATTGCCCCTTATTGGAGATATCGTGAGGGTACTGCCCCCAGTACTGACCATCCAGAGGAAGCAGCCTTCCAGTCTAACAAGTCAGGCATCAGCAGCCAGATGGGCTGCATGTCCAGCAGAAGGCCTATGCTTGGGAACTTTATCTCATCATCCCATACGGTAGGCTTAGATGCAGGGTCAAACTCAGCCAGCCCAAAGGAACTCTTTGACTTCTCAGCTGCAATTCTACCATGCAGCAGTATGTAATTACAGGGATCAGCTCAGTTGGTGGGATTGTGCTCATTCCTTGGAGCACAAGGAGGAAGAGAGGGAGGTATGTGTCTCATGCCACCACTCAACACTGATGGATCTGGTGCTTCAGTAATTCAATACCTGAAACTTCCTTGATGGCAAAAGCCTGGTCATATCAGGTGTTTTAGCATCAAGGAAATTTGCATCTACTGTTTCTGTGTGGGCTGCATTGGACTTTGGTCTCTTGGTGTCAGTGAACTGTCAGATCATAGTAGCACAGGACCTACGTGTGCAATGCCATCATCTCGGAGATGAGGAAGAATTATGTGATTTAAATGTGCGTCCCCACATGTGAGGATTTCAAGTGTTGCTGGTGCTAATCAGCAGTGGTTGAGAAGTCAGACATTCTTCAGCCAAAACCCTCTGGTAGACAGCTCTCTAATTAATCCAAGTGACATGAGTTACATTCCTCTCCTTCCCCACACCCATTTTGACTATACTGCCTCAGATTAAGTACTTCAGGTAAGGGACTTTGCATTCTTAAATAACTGCATACTAATCGTGCTACAAGAAGGCTGCAGAAGATGCGGCAGCTAGTAGCTGATGCCTTTTGAGATAAAGAAATTCAAAAGGTCACTTGTTAGTGTCTGTGAGTGGATTAAGGGGAGGAAAGGGCAGGCTCATTATTAACGTCCATTTCTTTGAGGGATGGGCTTTTTTCTTTTGCTAGGATTCTAACTCATTGAAGGAATTATTTCCCCAGAAGTAGTGAGTACGCATCTCCCTCTTACTTACGTGTGTGTGTGGGGGGGGCGCGCCTAAGTGCTTTTTTCTACATTGTTTTACTTAAAAATTGAGTTTGGACAATGCCAACCAGGCCTTTTCAATGGAAGAATGCAACTGGCCAATGCCATTTGGGATCATGCAGCCAATTTGGCATAACTGTATAGTTGGTTAGTGCTGTGTTAATTTTGATGGAATAAGTGGACCTAGAGCAGTGGTTTTCAACCAGGGGTCTGTTTACCTCTGGGGATGCACAGAGGTCTTCCAGGGGGTACATCAACTCATCTAGATAGGTGCCTAGCTTTACAACAGGCTACATAACAAGCACTAGCGCCATCAGTATGAACTAAAATTTCATACAGACAATGACTTGTTTATACTGCTCTATCTACTATATACTGAAATATAAGTACAATATTCATATTCCAATTGATTTTATAATTATATGGTAAAAATGAGAACATAAGCAATTTGTCTGTAAAAGTGGTTGTGACGCTTTTGTATTTTTATGTCTGATTTTGCAAGCAAGTAGTTTTAAGTGAGGTGAAACCTGTGGGTACGCAAGACAAATCAGACTCCTGAAAGGCGCACAGTCGTCTGGAAAGGCTGAGAGCTGGTGGCCTAGAGAATCAATTACGTTAACATGATCTGTCAATGTCCCACCCTAAACAGTTCAATGTGGTTCAGGGTTTTGAGTACAGAGAGATCAGGTTGTTTAGGCCCATGCCACCCACACTTGTCCCTTAATATAAAAAAAAACAAAAAACAAACCCCACAAACCTGCTCCTAAATAGGGAACAAGAGCTGCACCTTTAATAGTGGGTAGTGGTGGGATAGAGCAATTAGGACACATCATTTTTAGGACTTTTTTTTTTCTTTTTCCTTTTTTGGGAAGAGGTGCATGATTCCTTAAATCAGGCTGAATTTTAACTTTTACAAGAACACCTTACTAAGAGATCTGGTGGATTCTTCCTCAGCTTGGTTCCCAGAGGTGATGCGTTTCTAGACGATATCATGGAGGTTCCATCACAAGTTATCGGGCTCACAGCAGGAACTGGGTGGTTCTAAGGCCTGTGTCAGACTAGATGATCAGAATGGTCTCCTCAAGGCTGAATCTACTGGACTTTGAGAAAATTCTCTGCTATCCCAACCACTCCAGGCCTCCCAGAGTTTCTCTGAACACAGCAGATAGCAGCAGAGAACATCATCAGTTACATTAAAAACCCACTTAGGATCTCCTTATTTAACATGCCAACGTTCTTCAGGAATGACCACAGTCCCGCTTAGGATGTCAGTGCATGGCCTTGGGCCGATACGGTGTTTTGTTTGACTTTGCTGTGGGAGCTCTAAGAGGGGGGAAGAGGAGTTGAGAGTCCCAATAGGATGGACCTTGGATCAGCCAGCTGTTTGTTTTTACTGCACTTAATAGGGCCAGCCCCCTCCAGCCAGGAAGATAAGGCACAAGCTCAAGGTACAAAAGTTCCCTGGCATCCGCTAGACCTAGCTCTGTCTGAAACAGATCTCCCCTGCTCTGTCCCACTCCTGCTATATAAAACCTAGTGGCAGGAAAAGAGAGCTGGGTGGGGGCAGTGGAAGGAGCTGGAGGGTTGGCTGCAGCTGGAGCGAGATGAGCCAAGGGTGATTTTGGACACTGCTTCTGTGACTAAAGAGCTTTCATTCTTCTCGAGGAGCCTGCAGCGAGCGCTGGCCAAAAACAGAGGGCTGCTGCTGTTAGAGAAGAAGGAGTCAGCCACAGGAGGCCAAGCTACAACAGGAGAGGAACTTCAGATGGCTGCTCCGAAGACCAGAGGCTGGTTTATGAGAGCAGTGCAGGGCTAATATATCAACAAGATCTAGTCCCGTATGCAAAGGTGTGAGAACAGGCAGAATCCAGACCTACCTTTAAGCCTCTCAAATGAGGAAGAGGATGCAGCTCAGCAGCCTTCCTCTTGCATCACTGGCTTCTATTGCATGGATGTCTTTACAGGCAAAAAAGGAAGTCTTTAGCTAACCCTGTTGTATTTGAGCTGGGGCCCACAAAAAGCTTATCACAATCTTTAGACACTGGTCAGTTTCCATAGTCCAAGAATCAATTAAGGTGCCACAGACTTTGACCAATTCAAGTAAACATGTGCATAACTTTCCCTTGCTGCTCCCTGCACACCTACCTGACACCCTTAGGGTGAATTCACCTATAATTAAATTAGCAGATGACACTAACATTAGTGGGATAAACACACAGACAACCAAGCTGCAAAAGGTATCTGGATTAGGGCAGCCCTGCACCCAGCGGGTGGAGGAAGCCTCGCACAGATACACCCCATCTCATTCTATAACAAAGCAACACATCCACCGAGTGAGAGCACTAGATTTTCATCTCATCCAGTCCATGCTACTCCACCCTACCCTTTTAGCAAGCTGAGCACTAGAGTTAGCTAAAAGGAATTGTGGCATCAGGTTTGTGCCCTGCTCCACCATGATATTTGAGCCCCACTGATTTCAATGGATGTCAGGAACAGAGATATCTGGGCCTGGATACCTATTTAGCTGGCTAGTGCCTCAACTCTTTCAGCATGGACTGATGTCCCCTCTACCTCCAATTGTTAATGCCTTATGTTCCATTCCGAAGCACAGTTCCAGCATCTGGCACCCCTCCCCTGCAATTGATATATGGAGTCTTACATGGGGTCCAAGCAGTGGTGAGCTGGAGCCGGTTTGCACCTGTTTGCTGGAATTGGTTGTTAAATTTAGAAGCCCTTTTAGAACCCACCAAATTTTCCCTGTGGGTGCTCCAGCTCCGGAGCACTCATGGAGTCGGTGCCTAAGGTGCCACTTTTGATGTGATCAGTGGGGGGAGTGGCCACTCCCCCTGCTTCCCTCCTAGCTACTCTACCCCACCCCTAGGAGCCAGAGGGACCTGCCAGATGCTTCCTGGGAGCTGCCCCAGGTAAGCACCATCAGGACTCCACACCTCGCCCCCCTGGCAGGTCCCTCTGGCTCTTAGGGGTGGGGTAGGCACCCACTACAGTGGCCCATGAGACCCTCCTGCTCAGTGCTGGGGGCAGTCAGGGGACGGGGAGGGGATGGATGGGGCAGGGGTCCCTGGGAGGAGGGGAGAGTCAAGGAACGCGGCGGGTTGGATGGGGCAAGAGTCCCGGGGGTGGGGGTGGGCCACGACCCCCTCGTGGGGTGAGGAGTGAACTGGTTGTTAAGATTTGGCAGCTCATTACTGGGTCCAAGTGCCAGGGCAGGCCTGGACACTGAGGTGCTGCTTTTCCACAGCTCCAGAGACTGTTTTCTGAACAAAAGCTCAAGTGGTCACCTGCTAGTCAACAGGGGGGTGGGCTGAAAGTGTGAGGAGCAGTTACCGGTAGGTTTCATCCATCTCCTTATCAGATCTACCCATCAGTTTTTCCACACCAATAAGTGATCTGTAGCATCCAAAGTAGTATGGGATGGGGAGAAGAGAGAGGAATTACATATTTCTCGTTTGCATCCTTCACTCCTCTACCCCTTCCCCATCACCAGTCCTTTGAACTGCCCATTCCCCGCTTTTTGTTATTGTGCCAATTGATTGTGACCAAAAATAAAAAAAATAAATCCAGCATCAGTTTAACTAAACAGGCAAAGTTTGGAGACACTTAATCTAGCCAAAATACTCTTACCTGTATGGGGGGGGAGGGAGAAAGTGGGCATGGGGTTTTCTGTTTTTAATGAATCAGTGGGGTAGATCTTCCCCTTGCCACACTTGTGTGGGGAAAGATATCTATCGTCTTCTCAGGCTGGACAGAGAGGGATCCTCACCTCCTTGGACAACCAGACTGGGGATTTTTCTGGGGTAGGAATATGAAATGATCTCCTTCACTCCATCCACAAGCTCAAGGCTAGTAGAGCAGAGCTGCTGTTCAGCATTCCCACTCTGCAGCCAAGTGTAGGAAAGCCCCGAGCAAGCAGAACCTCCTGCTCACACCAGCAGGGCTCAAGACTCCCAGGCCAGCTGTAAAATATCCCTCCCTCCCCCTGGAGACAAATGTAGGTTTAAAGGCAGATCTGACTGAACGAGAACTGTAAGGGCATGTTGGAGGTGACCGCCACTGAATGATGGAGAGTTGACAGCCCTGATTTTACTACACAGATGCCTGTCAGAGCGTCTCATGGGGCATGGGACAATGGCATTTCAGACAACTCAGGAAAGGGAGGGAGAACTGCACATTCTGTAACATTAGACCATTTCCACGCCTCTCTGTATTCAGAGCCCCCACAGCGGATCTCCAAGTTCAATTCTTACCTGGTTTTGTTCTTGCAACCAGCACAGGGGCTGTCATAGCAGGACTCAGGAGAAATGTCTGCAGGAAAGTGAAAACTGGTTCTTCCACCAGCTGGTCCTAGGGAGTCCAAATCCACCTGGCCCCCTGCCCTCCATCGCCTTCTGCCTGCAGCGTTTAACAAGGCAGGAAGGCAGAGCTGAATGGGTTAAACAGCAAGAAGCAGAGAAATACCTCTCACTCACAAAGGGCTTCCTCCATTGAGGCATGGCTGCCCCATGGGCCAACGGTAATGCCTGTTCCTGTGTAGCTGTGCTAAGACTTGGGACGCATGTAGGCATGTGTACAGCATGTTATAGCTTTGAAGAGGCTTTAGATGATATTAAGTAGGTGCGGGGGCCTTCAGCGGAGGAGCAGAGTTGGGCAAGGAGTCAAGCCAACACACACACGCGCACCCTCCCCACCCCCAGCAGCTGGCTCACAATCTAGTCACCACCTGCCAGATCTAGGTATGCTAGAAGAGAGCCCCACTTGTCAGGCACGATCTGCAATCCAGCCTCCCACTTCACCTGGTAAGGATGGAGGCCCCCCGTGAAGGTTAAAGGGTGCTGCGGAGAGGGATAGTCCTGCTCCATGAAGACACAACCTCCAATCCAATAATTATAATAGATTCCCCTCTGATAGCTGAAGATTTTATTAAGTCAAACTATTAACGGTGTGGAAGGGCAGTTGCCGCCTTCATTGTTTGGCTCCGGCGAATGCAGCAGTGGCGCGTGTAGAGTCCCCCTGCTTCTACACCTCCAAAACCTCCAGGGGACTGACCTTGCCCTGGGACAGACACATGGCCCATGGGTACCGAAACCTGCCTTCGATACAGTCCACAGAGTGAGAGCACAGTCCCCAACAGCTTGAGCACGCTCTGTCCAACATCTCCTCGTCCAGGGGAACGTGTGCAGGACATTGGTTCTCTTGTATGGCTAGCCACAGTCTGTCTCATGGTGCATGGTCCTTCCAGCACATCCAAGTAGGCTGGAGGAGCAGGGAGATAAGAGGGGAGAAGGCCACTCGCGACCCCATAGATGCACCCCAAAAGGAGCACTTGAGGCAGGAGCAACAGCTGTGTTTCTTCTGTCTTCAGCTGCTGGTTAAAAAGATACTGTAGATTTAAAATGTTCCCCACCCACAAAACAAAAAAGTGAAGTATCTATAAAATATATCTTTTCACATATAAAATCCTGAAGAAGGTGCACGTAGGAGCCAGTCCAAACGATGTGCTCAGATACGCAGGCGCATGGGATGGGGATTGGTGAAAGACATGGGAGCTGGTTTCCTTGAGGGGGTGTTAATGGATGGGATGCAGCCACCCGCTCCCCACAAGTGAGGAATCGAGCAAAACAAACCTAAGGAGGAAATAAAGAGTCACGGCAAATGGAACTCTGGGGCTTCCCCAAATCCAGGAGAAGGTCGTTTGTACCCGGAGATGCCAGCTAGTGACACTGCTTGTACTGCAGCTGTGCGGGCCCAGATCAATTCAGATCCCCTGTTGGGCACGGATAGGTCAGGGACTCCTCCCACATGTGCATTTGGTCCCTCTCTCTGTGCAGCGGCCATGCAGGCAACACTCCCCCAACCACAGGAGGGGTGACAACCACTCAGGGGTTACTGTATCCTCTCCTCACGCCCCACATCACCCATAAATAAGCGGGAGCAGGGCCTAGACAGCAGGGTTCCCCGGTGCTGAGAGGTCTCAGCCTCCACAAGGGAGGCATGAGCAGGAAGAGAAACCACAAAGAGGGAAAAATTTCCACTCGATTGGATCCAGCAAGCATCAAACAGGCGATCCTGACTCACAGCCGAGCCGACATGACCCAGCAAGCGGAGCAGGCCCCCACATCCACTCCCTCTCCTCTGCCTTCACCTGCCTCCCGCCCCCTTCTTTACAGTGCCCTTGTCAGGAGAGGCCCAGAGCATCTCAGTGCAGGGCGAGCATTTGGCTGAGTGGGAACAACTCTGGCCAGACTTAAAGGGCTCGAGCAACAACAGAGCCCATGCCTAGGGTCCCACTACAAGGCCAGTCCTTCCTCGCCCTAGAGTGCCCTGGAGGAACTGCAACTCCCTCTGTGCTCTGGCCCCATAAGCTGCCCTCATCCCTGCTGTGGGCAGGCTTGTGCCAACCCCACAGTGCAGCTCGCGGCCCTTGGCTGCTCACCTCTACTCGCTGATGCTATTGCGCAGCGTCTCCTTCTCCTGCAGCGCTGCCATGGCCAGGCGCAGGTGTTCCTTCAGCTGCTCCATTTCCCGTTCCGAGCGCAGCTTGACGTGGTTCAGCTCTGCATAGACGTCCTGGTACTTCCCTGAAGCAAATCTCCTATCCTGCAGCGGAAGGCGAGGAGTCACCACCCAGCTTCTGGTATTCATTCTGGGGCGGGCAGCCCCCACCAGGAGGAAAGCCAGGGAGAGCAAGACCTAGGTGTCAATCTGAGCCTCAGCCAGGAAAGCAGTGGGAGCCCAGTAGAGACTCGCACAAGAGGGGACATCCACAGAGTTCAATTCTGACTGGCTGTTCCAAGGCAGGCGGAGGGGAACAAGAGGCCGGGCGGCTATAGAGCAACAAGTCATTGCGGACCGGTAGGGCTGGTTTCTGGAAGCTATTCAGCGACAGGTGGATTAAGAGTTGGGGGCTAGGGGAGTAGACAGCTGTCTATGGCCACCAGGAAGAGGAGCCTCTGCAGGGGTGCGTGACTAAGAGCAACGGGAAATTTGCTGGATCTCTGGAAGGTTCCCCTAATGGCAAGAGCCAGTCAGTTGTGAAAGTCTCCTAAGGCAGGAAGTGGTGGAAGCCACCTCGTTTGGGCCATTTAGAACAGAAGCCAACAGAGCAATGGCGAATATACTGCATGTAGCAAGCCCACCCTGGCCAGGGGAAGGAGCATTAGGACCCTCAGTAGAGGTCGCCCTTCTCTAATGGGAACACTGTGTTGAGGGAGATGGGGAGAATACTGGTGAGGAGGCCTGGACGCGGGTGGGCCGACGTACAGTCAAGGAGGCGGAAGGAAGGCAAACAAATTGGAGTTCTATCCAGATTTCACTGTTTTTTTCCCCCACCTAGAAGGGCTCCCAACACTGGGTGCGTGCACCCCCAGCCCCTCCCACTGCTCTGAGGGTTAATGACCAAAAGCGGCAGGAAACCAAAGTGAATCCAACAGAAACAGGAGACCCAAACCACTCCTGCTCAGCATTCATCCTCTGTATGATTTCCCAGGTCCTTGCTTTCCCCCATCATTTTCCTGCCTCCAACTTAAGTGAGATCTTCACATCCCACCCCTTGATAAATGAGCCCCCGGGAAGGAGAGAATAGCTCCCAGGAAATGGTACCTTTTGCATCATCTGGAGCTCATCTTTAAGACACTGAACCTCTTTCTTCAGGTACCGGAGTTCATTCTCCTTCACTCGAAGCAGCACCTGTGAGGAGGAGGAGGAGGAGAAGAGAGACTCCAGGGATCAAGCTGAGAGATATGGCATCAGTGCAGGGCAGAAGGGTGTGTTGGAGGAGGTGGGGAAGGAAGAGCCAGGAGCACAAGGCCAGGAAGTGCTGCAGATCTAGAACGAGACGCAGTGGCAGAGCTGTGCAGGGGAAGTTTGTGTAGCAACTTCCTGCACTGCAGCTTGTGCCATCAGCTCCTCTGCTTCATGGGAGTTTGTGCCCCCTGAAGGTGTCAGACTGGCATGAGTCCACTGCACACCTTGCTGCTCTTCTCTCATAGTCCCACAGAGCCAGCACTGCAGGGTAGGCGGCGGGGTTGAACGTCAGGCGTCCAGTGCACCCCATTGACAGCCACGCCTGCTGCAGAAGTGGGTCAGCAGCACATAGCACCAGCAGGCCTCTTTACCTCGAGCTCACAGGAGCTCCTCTCGCCGTTGTGCAAGGCCCCGTCCCCTGTGCCCTGCGCGGTGATGAAGGTCCGTAACCTCTGGATCTCCTCCGACAGGCACGTCTGCAGCTCCTGCAGATCAGAGCAGATTCATCAGGGGAGTGCGCATGCACCCACAAACCAGAGTCCACAGGCAGGTGAGAGCCAGCCAGGCCCATACTGCTCCCTCCTCAGATACTCTCCCCCTCCCTCAACCCCAGCTTAAAGGGCCTCATCTCCTGATTCGCTTTGGACAGCACAGCTCATTTGTGAAGGGTTTTCTGGCTCTGGAGGGAACATGCCCCTGGGACCTTCCAGCATGCCATGCAGAAGGCTCAGCCTTCTGGGCAAGCGTCTTTCTTGCCTGGTTCTGCCGGAGCAGCTCCTTCCCCTCCTGCTGGCAGCGCTGCAGCATCTGCTCCCGCTCTTCTGCTTTCTCTGTGAGGTTGCCGATTTCCAGGCACTTCTGGGAGTATTGCTCGGAGAGAACCTGCAGCTCCCGCTTCAGAGAGTCCACATCCGACCTGCCACAGCCGCTCAGAACATTACTTCAGAGAAGCAGGGTGCCCCTGTCCCCCTCCCAGGGCCCACTTTTGCACAAACACTGCTCTCCACCCCGGCTGTGGACACCACTCTCTGCCCCTGCCCACACTCCCATGGCCATCACCGTTACTCAGAAGGGTCCCCTCCCCTGAGCAGCTGGTAATCAGAGCAGGGGAACCCACTGAAGCCGGGAGAGGAAAGAAGCGAAGAATCTAATGGGAGAAAGCAGGGAGCACGGTAGCCTTTTCAGGTCTAGTGGAGATGGGATATCCTGCTCTCACATACACGGTTAGCATCTCAGGCCATCGCATCCCCACTACCCTTCCCTGGAAGCAGTGCTAGGAGGCAGGCTGGAAGCTAATGCTGGCTCTCCGGAAGGCCAAGAGGGGTGGAATATAAAACTCCACCCTTCAGCCCAATTTTGAAGGAAACAGCACCCCTCCAACTCGCCCCACTGGGCGAGAGCTACCGAAAAGTGACCTAGCAAGCCCGGAGCCTGGCCTGGGCAGGGGACAGGGCGGAAGGGACTGTGCAGAGACTCCTTACTGGTGCTGTCTCCGGAGGGCCTCCGAGCCTGACCCGCTCTGCTGGAAACTGCGTGTCCTGCCCAGCTCCTCCTTGTGCACCTTCTTCAGCGCTTCAATTGCTTGGGAGGAGGAGACAAGGAGATGGGGAGTTAAGTGTCCCGGGAGACTTGGCCACTCGCCAGCTTGGCAGAGGGGGGCAGCGGGAACTGAACAAGGGGAGTTCCTGAGGACTCCCTCCCATCTACCACCAGAAACCCCAGCTCCAGGAATGGCTCAGAATTTCCCTCTGCCTCCACTCTGTCCCGGGCATCTTCCCCAGGGCTAACTCCTACCATGCCAAGCCACAGCAGGCAGCCCCAAGCACTGCTCATGGGCGATGCGACCGTCTGAAGCTTCCTGCTGCAGGGTCCGTGCAGAGACTCCCCTCTCTTAGCTGTAGTAAGGCCAATTCCCAACATGGACACACAGGGGGTGGGGAAGAAAGGAGCTTCCGGGTCAGGTCTTGCTTGTTAAAAAGGGAATCGCTCAGTGGGGGAGGGATAGCTCAGTGGTTTGAGCATTGGCCTGCTAAACCCAGGGTTGTGAGTTCAAACCT